CCCTTGCTTTATCCCGTTTTGAAAAGTGGTTATTTTATATTATTTATATGCATCGAAGTGAGCCATTGGGCGGAAGTTTTCTCCAGAACCTCTGGGTTACTGAGATATATACATATATATCACCCTGTCTTGGGGGCTTTATTTCAGGAGGTTGCAGTGGTACGGAAGCGGCGGGCAAGAAGCCCGTAGGATGAGCCATTGGAGGACTTGCACTTTTTGCATTTTGATGGCCATTTGGCCTAGGCTAGACTTAGGGCATGAACATCTCATATGTATGTAGGATGAGTTTCATAGTCATATTTGTTCATGTCATTTTGCTTAAGTCTAGTTGTATATGTCCTTTAAGCTTTATGTTTCAAGTTGTAATTAAAGTTATGAAGTTGTAAGTTGTAATATGTTGTAATTGCACTTGAATACTTGATGTAATATAATGGAAGGGCTTTAGGCCTATTTTAGGATTATCGATATGTGAATGCTTAGAAAATGCATGTAAATGGACTTGGATGATTGAAACGTATTAAGTATTAATCAAGTGAGCAGTATGATATAAAGTGTGTAATAACTATAAACTGAGTTGGGTTGTAAGTGCTCCAAGGCATTGTTGGTCCTTGTGTGTGCCACCCATTGGTTATTAGGTACATTTGAGGACTTAGATCACGTTTGCAATTTGGGGATTTTTGTAAAAACAAAAGAAACTCCGACGAATTTTCTGTAGAATTGACAGAATTTAGGCGAACTTCGAGAGAGCATATCTCCCTCCACAGAGGCCCGATAGGGACGTGCCATACATTATGTTAAAATCTGAGAAATTTTTGGGTTGCACACAGCCCTGGAGAGACCTGTGAACACGGACTGTCCAGAATGCACCTGTGCAGGGGCTGTTTCTGGCAGTTTTTGGAAATTTTATTCCCGCTTCGTTTCTTGGTCAAATTAAGTGTATCATATGTCACATTGAAGCTTGAGGTGTCTAGTTTATGGTATAAAATTTTAGAGCATTTTAGTGAGTGGTTTTGCTGCAGTAATTCGTGGAGTGAAGGATGTTTGGAGCTGTTTTGGGGTTGGTTGGCAGTTTTGCTTGCCCAACTTCAAACGGCGATATCCGGAGCAAACGAGATCGAAATGATTCGTGTGATGGCTCATTGGAAAGGTAATTAAGTAAGAAAAAAAGATAGGTAAATATGAAGGACTGGTTTTGTGCGGTGTGTTCGCAGAAAAATAATAACCGAACCATGTTCGGATAGGTAGAAAACATAAGATTGAGAAATTGGCTAAGTGGGTTTATGGGAACCCCTTAGTGTCTTGTATTGAGTAAAATAAGTTATAAAAATAGATTAAATAAGTATTCCGCAAGAGTCTATAGTTATGGTCACAACTTTTATTATTACGTTTTTTACAGTTTTAAATACTCGTGTAATAAACAAAAAAAGTTTACTCGCATTTTTATAAATGAATTGCTGTGATTGTAACTGCGTTTAATATCATAATTAATGTTAACAATATTGGTGTACAACGGGCTGTTACACCAGTGATAACTAACCCGTCAACATGTCTTGGCACCACATCCTCCAACTCTTTCTTAGTGAAATATAGTAGTGGAGCCTCTGATTCAGTTTCTTTAAATTTAGGCCGTTCTCGTATCGAAAGCACCTCTCTCAAATACTTCTTCCTTGCATTCATGGTATCACTTCTTCCGCCGAAAGCCCCACTAATCACATTGCATTCAAACTAAGGTTCCACGAACTCGTCTTCTTCTCTGGCCGGCTTCTGACCTCGGTTCTCTTCTTTGAGTCTCTTTTCTCGTGGCAGGCTCATAGGCCGCCCTCCTCTTCTCTTCTTGTTTCTCCATCCTTGAGTTCGTATTAGATATTGACGCAGCTTCCCGTCTCTGATATATTTTTCAATTGCGTCTCTAAGATCCCAACATTCATCAGTAGTGTGACCAGGGCCATCATGAAATGCACAATACCGAGATTGGTCAAGCCCGGCTGGATTCAGTAATGGTTGAGGCCTATCTACTCTCTTCATTTCCGTGGATGCTACTTCCCTCCATATTTGTGACCTGGATGAATTTAAAGGTGCATACCTATCAAATCTCCCCTTCACCAAAATTTTATCATCCGGTCTTTTACCTCGGAAATCACTTTGCTTCCGGTTTCCGAGCTTCTCCAATTGGCTGGGGTGTTGCCGTTGGTCTGTATTTCAATTTCCATCTGCTCGAGCTCCAAGTACTTCTTCGACCGAGTTGTAAACTCCACTAAAGTCCGGACTAGGTCTTTGTATACAGATTTAGCTAGCCTAGAAGAACCAAGTAATCCGGCAATTATTAAATGTAGATGAACATTTTCGGATAATCCGGGAACTTGTAAGGCGGCCGTTTTAAAATGGTCTAAATACTTCTGCAAGGTTTCCCCAGGTTGTTGTTTTATTTTTCCTAGAGCGAATTCGGACTTCGGCTATTTTTTGCTAGTAGCAAAATTCAGCAAGAATCTACCTCCGATAATGTACATTGCCGTATCAAAGGCATCTAAATACACTTGGGGATCCTGCGTCCCGTCATATTTTAGAATTTCTGATAAATTAAGGTTTTCTGGGAAAGGTGTGTCCACGATCTTGTCCACGAAGGGGCTATCATTGTACTGCCCCCTGTGATACTTTATTCTGTAGATCCCGGATACATCATCCGGGTTTCTGGACGGGCATCTCCTATCCAGAGGTTGGGGACTCTCTCTCCGCCTTTCTGTACCTTCTTCATTGTTCAGGCCCTCCGGCCGGGGTACCTGATAACGAATCGAATTGGGAATGCGCCTTTGAGGTCCGGCCTCAATATTTTTGACGTCCCTCATTTGAGTCCGGGTTCTAACATTATTCTCATGGGGATTTGTGATCCTCAGGTCATTCATGACTCGGGTTATAGCTTGATCCGGATTCGGGTTAGAGACTCGTCCCACCCGGGCATCCAGCTCTCGCATCTGTCTAGCACCTACCTCCCTTTCAAGCTCATTCATGCCTTCGCTCCATCTCCTCCATTCTTCGAAGGACTGCGGCAACAGCCAGATCTGTCACTCGCGAGTCACCTCATGTACCATTTGGTCCCTGTATGGCATTCACAACTTATTCTTCCATCGGTTGTAAACCCTACACGTATGGGGCATCCATATTGACGGCTGGGGTTGATGTTGAATCAGAATGCACATCACTAACATGCACCGCATCGGTATCTATCTGTTGATGGTTCAAAGGATCCTCCCTGATTGGAGGAACGGGCTGGTGCCTGGAATTCGATCTTGAAGGTTGTCGATATCCACTTCTCGTCGTCCTTGTCATCTCGGCCTCTTAAATCACGTGGTAGTAGGAAAGATTCCCACAGACTGCGCCGATGTTCTGCCTGAGGCAGATGTGTTCGACCGTAGGTCGCAGGTCGGGTATTTGATGTTGGATCTAATGCTTTCTCTCTAGATACCTATGAGTTAGGTACTTTGGGAGCAGAGAATCACCCCACACTATATGATGGCCTGAGTCAGAGGGGGTGTGTGTATGCACTGTTGTGATTGAATAAAATAGGGTTAGAGAGATCAGTCATACCTATGGTCTTTAGCTCCTATATATAGAGCTTACCTTTGGGCTTGTGCTGATTGGGCTTCTCGTAAGCATGGGTCTTTCTGAGGTCCATAACACACACACACACATACATATATATATATATATATATATATATATATATATATATTACGGAAATCAAACAATTTGAACAATTTGCGTCACGAGAATTTGCGATTTGTAAATCAATCTGATTGAACTGTACATATTCAAGTAAGACAATAAATATAGAATTGAACAATTCATAAATCACGAATGCCAATCATTTTGCTGTGTAAATCAATTTGGAAACCACGAATTCCAATCAATTTGCTGTGTAACAAATTGAATCTTTATATATATTTATATATTCACGTAAAACGACAATTTGCGATTTGCGATCATGACAGTAAGGTTTGTGAATCCTTATTTGTTTTTGTAAACAAATATATATGATGAGATTTGTAAATCAAGATGTGAATCAAATAATTTGTAAATCACTACTCAAGTCAATATATGCTTATTGACAAAACGAACCCAATCAAGATGAGAATTGTAACAAACAGTGCAAAGTGTAATTCACGAAAATCGAGATAACATGAAAACATGTATATATAATAAATAAATCCAGATTGTTGAAATGATTGAAGCAAAATTCAACAATCCAGAAAAAAAAAAATCGTAATTGTATTCAACAACCCAGATTAATTTTAAAAATAAATCGCAATTGTATGGGTCTTAAAATCATACATGTCAGCTCTTATACCAAATGTAAGATATTTTCAACATCAATAATTCAACATAAAGATTGATAGATGTATGATAAATAAAACACCGTATATCAATTTTTATTCTGAGAGGAATTCATGTACCTGATTGGGCCATCTTATCTACTGAGCGAAGAACCTTTATCTCACGGCTAGTGTCTTCGTTTCTATGACCTATTCCAAAATGGCAGTTAATATAAATAGGCTAAATAGGAGACCTATCAAAACCCTAATCAACAATGTGTCTGATGAGTCTACCCATCACAGAAGTTCAATCAAACACTAATGCCTACACTGTGCTGTCAACTAGGCCCAATACCAAAAGATGTCAAAAGCCCACTCAACATGATCACAATAGACTTATCACAATAGAATAAATTAAAATATCCATTAACCCGATTATTTTAAAAAATACAAAAACATTAATTAATATTTCCCAAATATAAAATTTCTAACAGTTTCTACTAGTCAGTGGTTAATCAGTCAAAGAAGAAAAAAGAACAGTGAGTCACAAAAGTAACAAGGACATTAATACTAACCCAACTTTCTCTCCTTGCTACATATAAACACAGTAAACACCAAAGATAATTCTGCCAACACAGATAATAATCATACTGTTGATCTGTCAATATCCTGTTTGAGGCAGCATTAGGTTAAACTTTAATCATATATAGAATACAATTTACAACATCAATTGAAATAAAGAATTGTTCAAATACATGTACAATTCTTTCACAACTACAATCACTCATCACAATACAATAGGTTTTCAGGCCTCCAAAAAAATATTTGGACACTATAGACCCAATTAAAAGTAAGAGATTTGCTTTAATAGATCCTTTTTTATTTTTGGTGATCAAGGAAGAAAGGAACTAGATTGCATGAGCTGTGTTGCACATCCCAGGGTTTCTAACACACCAAAGTGGCTGAATGGGCTCAGCCCCTATACCTCTTCTCACCATTCTGCTTCTCCATTCATTCAGTCTATCTGTGGCCTCAGCATATCTCTTCATACCCATTTCATCCCGGTTGCCTGACCACAATGACTCAGCCATTGCAGAAGTTCTTGGCCAAATTCGCGCATCCAAAACAGTTGGATCAGCTTGTTCTGACCACAGTGCCACCTCCCCACCCAAAACTAACTTTGATTCTTCTTCATTCAGCCCATATGTTATATCATAATTGTATATGGTTTGCCATGTTTTGAAAGGTCCACACCAAGAGCCACCATTGCCTGTGTCATCCCCATTTTGCTGGTCATAGGCGCTGTCATTCCCAACAAAAACACCATGCCCACAATCCAAATAATAGAAGTCTGCTGACGACACAATGGCTCGGTATCCAGAAGAAACTATCTGTTTAGTGTTATTGTGTCCATTGTTCCATGTCTGCAAAATTACATGCTCCTTGGGAAGAATTGTAGATGGCACTTGGATTGTACCATCTAATAAAACATCTTCCCAATAGACAACTGTGCGGTTGAGTGATAAAATAAAAGGGAGTGTGTTATTCACAAACACCTCAAGAACTTGGCTGAGAGTTCCACCATTTAATAAATATTTCTGAATTGTGGGATCAGTTTTCCAGCAACCTGGTACAATCTCATCAGCACCAGAGTGGTAAAATGGTTCTGGGAACAACGTGGTCATATCACGTATGACATTCTTTAGGACTTGGTAGGTCTTGGGGTTTAAGGGGTTCAATTGCCCTGTTCCTGGTTCTGCAGCAAGCCGATCCGACCACTCACTTTCAGCTGGCCACCAGAACATGTTGGCACATGTTACAATTTCAGGGTAGGCTAAAGCCCACGATCCAGTATGCCCTGCCAATATGTAGTTTTATCAATCAGTGATCATCATTATTCTGAGAACCATCTTGTACAGCTAAATTATGTGAAAGAGGAAAAGAAAGGTATGTTTGTCAATAAGTTTCAATATAGTAACATTGCAAAAGCAATGTTTTAAAGTTTGGACATCATACAAAAGCCTAATTAATTTTGTTAAATGGTCTTATGATTAATATTTTTAGTTTCTGTTTCTCTGTGTGTTAATTTTTAACTTCACAGAATTTTACATCTCATGGTAAGCTTTATCCAAAGATCATTTCATGATTGCCAATATACACATTATTTTAATTAACAATCACCATAATTCCTAGAACCGTCACTTTATAATGTTCATATAAACCAAAACAGGAAAAAGGAGACTTGAAATCTTTTTTAATTTTTCATAGAAGGAAAAGAAAACAAAATACTAAATCCTGACAGACAAAGTTCCTGCCTTATCAGTAGAGAAATTAAGGATCAAACTCGGTGTTTTCCTTGTAACCCAGTAATATTCAAAGTGGAATCCCAATTTAGCCATAAAATCAGCGCGTTGGTTCCTTTCATGCAGCACAAGAGTAAAATTCCAATCTTTTTACTTTCAGAGATATAATATTCAGGACCAGGATAATAATAGCTCAGACTCATTAGTATCCAAAGTTGTATTGTTAATCAGATGCAGAACTTCCTAATTTTAACAATTTACTTTTTGTTACAGAGAACGTGTATGACCCGGTACGGGAAAGGGGAGAGAGATGGTAAGCTAAATTGTAGGCAAAGTGACCTAGCTTGAATTGGATTGCTGGTTGGAGAAACAGTTCAAAAGGGACTCGGTGCCACTTGATGCATGTTTGAGATAATTTCAACCTAAATTGTTGGTATCAAAGTCCAGTAATGTTTCGAGTATATTATTATATGATTAAGTGTATGTCTCTCAACAACTAACTGGCTAGCATTCTGACAAGAATAAATACATACTTCAACAGATTCAAACATTTCAAAAATGAATACCTTAAAAAACACAAACAGGCAGAGGATCAAAGAGTGAAGATAAAGTTAGTTTGATTTCTGCTTTTGATGAGAAACACATCCCTCTATATGTGTTGTATTCTGTCTGTCTAAATAACATTACCCTTTCAAAAAAACTGGCACCGAATAGGTGGTTGCATTACTATATTAATTTATTTATTTTGATATATACACAAAAGCAGTTCTTGCTTTTTTCATGAGTGAAATAAAGGTGATGTCCATGTTGATATATATATACAAATTCTAACCTTTGCATATTTGTTTGACAAACACATTTAACATACAAACATCACAAAACCAAAAGGTCAGATAGTTGGGATGAAATGTCAATGAATTTGTGAAAACTAAACAAGTAGACTATGTTAGAATCTGATGCAAGCTGCACAGCAATCACGACTAAATAATTAAATAATTCAGGACAGTTATTCACACAAAACGAGTTTAATTCGTTTAAGTGACAAATATGCAGAGAGAAACAAACAGGCATAGAAATCAAACACCCAATGTTCTAGAAGAAAGAGCTCAGACTAAACCTAATTCAAATAGGAATGGGCCGTATCCGTTAAACTCTATAAGTACATACCTTTTAAAGCCTAATGAAGGGAGCCCAATTACGAAAGATCATCATCGTCCACACATCAAATGGGTCTAAGCCACAAACCCATAATAGGAGGTCCGACACCACAACTAAACCTAGAACCTTAAACAATTGGGTACATGCGTCCTTTCACTCATATGTACTATGCTTAGCCTATTCATTCCGAGATTTTTTATTACTCACATTTGAATTCCCATCATATGGCATTGGCTTCAAGCCTCTTTTATTGTGCACAACTAGGAATCACGGACACCTTAAAAAATAGGGAGTGTCATCTCTGACATGCTGCAACACTAATACTAATCCTAGCTGTTGTTTCTTCCATAGACTCAGTTAATTTACACATCAAATACTAATCACAATCCCCTCCGATCGGACAAGTACAATCACAAAAACCAACAACAACAACAAAACCTCACAATATAAAAAAATAAAATAAAAAATGAACTAACCAGGTGAGTCAATCTCAGGAAGAACACGAACACCATGATCAAGGCCAAACTCGACAACAGTTTTAACATCCTCAGGAGAATACACCATGTCAGGACCATAAGCACCCTTATCAGCCAATGCAGGCTCAGAAGGAAGCACGATTGGGAAAGACTGTGAATCCGTCACGTGCCAGTGAAACACATTCAACTTGTTCATGCTCATTGCTTTCACAGTCCTCAGCAAATCCTTCACCGGGTAATAGTTCCTCGCCGTGTCCAACAAGACGCCACGGTGGCCAAACAGCGGCGCGTCCCAGACGTACACCCCGACCGCCACGCGCGTGGGTTTGCCCCATGCCAGCTGGGAGAAAGTCTCGAGGCCTCGCATGGCGCCCCATGCCGTAACGGAGGTGAGGGTGGCGGAGGTGGCGGTGACGGAAAGGGTGTAAGACTCGTCGACGCCGTGGTGGAGGGGAGCGTCGAGGTCGGCGACGGTGATTGTCAGCGAGTGTAGGGGTGGGAGGTTTGTGGAGATGTTCACCGGTGGTGAAACCAGTGGACGGTGGTGCTCGGTTTTTATGAGGCGGAGGTAGCGGGTGATAGCGGCGGAGAGGTGTTTGTTGTGGTGGGGGGTGGTGATGATGGTGAAAGTTGGTGACAAGAGTGTGGCTTTGTGTGGTGGGGTCCACGTTAAGTTTCTTGGTTTGGGCCACACGTTGATCACAACAGATTCTGATTCTGCTGCTGTTACTGTTTGGTATGGCAGTAGCACTAGTAACAGTAGCAACAACGTTGATTGTAATAGCGTCATGGTCTTGTTGGGATGAAGAGAGTGAGCCATTGCTTGTGTTTGAAATGTTTGGTGAATGTTAGAATGGAGTGGTACTATTTATATATAGGAAAAGTAGAGAAGTATGTGTAATTTTAATGGGAGAAGTGTGTATTATTTTAAGGGATATGTTATTTTACCTATTTTTTTTTGTCTACTTTTGTCTACTACTCTAAAATACCATTAGATTAAAATCTTAACTAACATTTATCTTTCTATCTCTTGATATTCTAATCTAACGATGTTGGAGGATGGTAGGTAAAAGTAGACAGAAAAAATGATAGGTAGAATAACATATCCCTTATTTTAAAGGACATAAAATTATTGTGTCATTTTAAGTGTTAGAAAGAGATAAATCATTGGGGAGAAAATGAAAGAAAAAAGTTTTAAAGATGTGACCTCTTTATAAGAATAAAAAGATGTAAGGTGTGTCACTTTAAATGACATATTTTTTCTCATTTTTAAAATTACTTAATTTAAATTCTTTTAGGAGAAAAATAGATATAAAGAGATGAATTTTTATTTTTATTTTTGTTTGCTTATTGGCTGGACTATGGGTATTTGACACTTCTTTTGGTTTATTTAGAGGAAAGATTCCGTATTGATTTAGGAGAAAAATTAGATGTCTTCCACTAATAGGATGATTACAATGATGACAAAACAACACAGTTTAAGAAATGAATGCTTTCATGTTAAACAAAAAATCACATGTCATGTAGTATAATCATAATTATATAAAGGTAAATCAATAATTATGATTTAATAATTATTTATTTTAATATTTTCTCTCTCTCCTCTTTTATTATTATTAATTCATTTTTATATGATTATGATTGCCCATATAATTGTGTAATATTTTTTCAACGAGTGGATGTGTAACACCTCGTGTATACCCCCAGTTTGTTAATATATCATCATATTAAGCTGCGCTTAATTAAAAATGCGGAATATCTTTTTGTTTTCAATTATGACGTCATTATACTTAGCCAAGTTGATTACTTAATCAATTTCATAAAATATCTCTTGTATGTAAATTGCAATAAGACATCTAATTGAAATACCTCAAAATATAGATATAAATGTGAGTATCTAAGTCACAGAATTACAACACATAATCCGAACAATATCCTGATACATTATTACAACTCAAAGTAAAACAAGACATAACAAGTCTATGTGGCGTGGACAATTCTCATGCTCATCAAATCAACAGCGTCTCGACAAGATAATCCAAAATCATGAATGAAGCTAAAAGCATAAAAACAGCATGCATAACCAGCATCCAACAAGTCAGCATATAATAACAGCAATATCTAACTCAGCTCCGGCCTCCTGCCGCCTGAGGTCTCAACCCCATCATTACCTGAACCTGAAATAAGCATTCCCCAAACGTGGGGTGAGATCTCTAAGCCAGAAATCTCAGTAAGACAAGGGGTCCTCAAAGATCTTCCACCTCAAGCTCACTTACATGTGCAATATAAGTTCTAAAAGCAGTAACTCAGTATAAGTTCCAAAACTCAATGCAGTGCAACAAATATTCATGCCATGTGTGTCAATATTATTCTACTGGCCAGAGAAATGCAGAAATATGTCTATTACCTACAAATAGTACAAGGAACATCGCTTGCACCTCACCCACAGCCTCACCATATTGTATGTACCACATACTCAGGCTTACCATATAGGTGGAACACCACATGCATATCATAAAGGCACTACCATATAACAGCTCAACAGCATTTCCAAAACATCAAAAGCATGTAGCACAGCATGCATATAACCATACCCCCATGGGACTTGGTGGAACCACAACATAGCTAAATCGAGGACACGAAAGCTTACCTTGCAACCTCACTATCCAATGCCAAGAGTCCGCACAGCTCAAGTCCAACACACAGTAGATCACAAACTGATTAGGACCAGCAAGCATATCAACAACAAAGCTCAAAAGCATAAACATAAAGACTACATTTTTCCTTTTACGGTTTACGTCTTAAGGCTCACACAAAGCCACAAGCCTTTAATCATTTGATTCTGACTTGGTTCAATTGAAACAGAAGTTCAACTTCATCACTCTAGGGTCCACAAACCCCCAATAGCCTACTGTATGAACAGTGCAGCTACTGTTCTACGAAATCCCAGAATATCCGGTTATTCGTCAGGGGAATATCCGGAGATCAATATCCGGATATCCAGATCCTCATATCCGGATATCAATATTCGGATATCATATCTGGATATCCCATATCCGGATATCATATCCGAATATCCCATATACGGATATCATATCCAGATATTTCGCGACAGAATGCAGTTTCTGCATTTCGTGAAGATATCCTTCCAAGGTACCATTTTTAACACTTCCAGAAGCTTAACATGCATCTTAAGGTCCATTTAGGTTCATATGACAGTTGCTTACTTGCTTAACTCATTTACATGCAAAGACACTACCTTAAAGCCATAAAAACTCAAGATCATGATAAGGTAACTCACCCCCAAAGCTTAAAACAGAGGAGAGAGTGCTCTTGGAGCTCACCAAAAGGTCCTCACAGTTCTGACTTCAAGGAAATACGAAAATGGTGAACAAGAGTGGTTCTTTTCTTCATAAGATAGCTTCTTGAAGTTATAAAAACACCATAACAATGGTTCCTTCAACCCTCACCATGAAGTCAGCCCCTAGACCACCACTAAACAGCACCCAAAAACTCAGAAGATGGCACCTTTCTCCCTCACAAAGCACACACCCAAGTGTTTAGCACAAAAAAAAGAAGATACAAAGAGAAAAGATGGTTCTTTGATGAGTTTTCATGGAGGAGAGCAAGGTGGCAGCTTGGAGGCTCAAGTTCAGAAGACAGTCACGTAGAAATTCTGGTTTATAGGGTTTTGTGCCCAACATAAGTGTATATATAGGCACTTAAGAATATACCACACAATATTAACTTTAATTGCTACGCTTAGTATTTTAATCCCAAACTTTGGATTCTTAACCTACTCAATTTTACAAAAATTATCATATTTTTATTATATTTTTCGAAGCACCTTTCCGGTACGCGCTTTTCATAGCCAGTATCAGTTTCTGGCACCAGTTCTCATTATTTTAACTTGAAACTCGTTTTACCAGTCCTATATATTATTCTATGAATTATCATGCGTTCATTATAATTTTCTGGGATACTTTTTCGGCAGACATTTATACCAACTAGCAGAACCGGTATCTGCACTTTTCTTCCGAAAAGCGACTTTCAGCATTCTTAATCACTTATCATAATTATTAAAGCCTCTTAATAATTATTAGGGTCAATTATGGAATTATTTCCAAATCCTCATCTATAATTAATTAATTTCCTTAATTAACGGTGCGGGTTCTTACATGATGCACTCCACACAATTACTTATCCAATAGAGGTGTTCGCTGTCTGAATTGGATTGGTTTTGGAAGCAAAAATCATCTGATCCAATACTTCGGTTTGATCATTTAATCATCTATTCGGTTTGGATTTTCTTTTAAATCCGATCCAATCCAATTTTTTCGGGTTTGATTGGATCGGTTTTCGATTTTTTGAAAATCCTAAAATTTGTTTCATGATTATTGTGCAAATAACATCTTTTGTATTTATTGGCTTTGTAATATATATTTTTTTGAAATACAAAAGCACCAATAAACGATAATATAGTTTTTTTTTTGGACAATGAGATATGAAGCTCTACACATGAAATATAGTTTTGTTTTAAAGTTATAAAGAAGTTGTAGTTATTTACAAAAATGTCATTAATGAATCCTCATATTCACAACATTGCCACCGCAAAATAATTTAAAATTAAAATATAAATTGATTTAATTACGAAAATGCTATTAATGAATCCTCATACTTACCGGAATGCCACCGCAAAAACAAGAAAACAAAAAAATAACTTTTGAAAACATCCTTCTATTGTTTTGCTTTTTCAATTTTTTTAAAAAAAAGCAAACACTGTTTTTTTTGGTAAATAACGCTGCTTTTAAAACATATAGCATGAAACACTCTTTCCAAACAAGATTTTTTGTTTTATTTTTTTTTAAATTTAAGGGTGTTTTACCCAGTGTTCACAAACCTGGACCGGCTCGATCGGATCAACCTGAGAACCGATAAATAGGTCATATAATCAGTCTAGGTGAAGCAGCGGATCGACCAAGCAATGGAAACCCGTTCGATTTTGGTAAAAACCGATGACCCGGCCCAGTTTATACCAAAAATAAATGCTTAGAAATTTAAGAAGATCATTTCAGGCATTTTTTTTTTTAAATTTAAGAAGCTTATAAAATAAGATAAAAATTTAATTAACAGGTTAAATTAATGTATCGCCAAGATTTTATCTGGATTTCACTTGTAGTAGATGTTAAATGTCTGAAGATAGGTCAAATATTGTGTGTTTCTTCGCTTGTTAGACAATATTGTGTGATTTATTATTTTTTATATTAGAATATTTGAAATTAGTATTAATTTTTACAAGTGTTTAAGTATGTTTATAATTTTTTGATATAAATTATAAAATTGCATATATTACCGGGTCATGCGGTTCAACCAATGATCCATTGGAATGGACCAGTGACCGAATAACTCGACTTGGTCAATGTTCAGGTCGAGTTTAATAACATTGGTTTTACTATACAAAATTCCTCCAATTTAAAACAAAATTTGTGAAGTTCCTGTAATAATGTAATAAATTTTTCTTTCTCACTTGCTACAAATATTTTATGCATAAAATTGCAAGCTATTAAAGCATAATTTTATGTCAAAAAATAATGGCTTAATACACCTATTGGCTCAAAGTTAAGATTGAAACTTTTAGATCAACGGGCTTAATTTTATTCATTAGAGCTTGTAAAAAATTATGCTAAAAGAAAAATCTGCCAACATTTTTTTAAGTGAATTGAGAGTAATTTGTCTATCCTTTGGAAAACCTTATGGGGTTGGAAAGGACCGATTAGAATTCAACTGTTAATGTGGAAGTTTGCGCATAAAAAATTACTA